TCCAGTTAGGCTGCAGCTCCCACTGGTTTATGTGAAGGCCAAGTGTGCCATGGCCAGGATCAGGATGGGCTGCAACACCCACTGGTTTGCATACAAGACAGGGCTGGAGATAGAACTGACCCAGTAATTGCAACCACCAGTGTGTGCATAGGCTAATTTGGGCAATGGACTGTGCCAGACCATGTATTGGCAAGCACACACAAGAATCAGGTCTGAAATCACCTCAGATGGGGTTTGTTTGGGAATCCCTCCAGCTGAACCACTGGACTCAGAACGTCAACCATGGAGAGAATTGCAGGTTCCATGGTCTGATCATGGAGTGCATGTCAGCACTGGGCCTCCTCAGAGGCTCAGACAGAACAGTGGACAGCATATCCATTTGCACATGGAGGACATGGCAGTACATTGGAACATGCAGAGGACAGCTGGTACCATAACAGAATACAGAGGACAGAACAAATTGATCAACTACCCCAGCCAAGCGTTGGCAGTATCTGGGCAAATAAGGTGGACTATGTCAGCCAGTGGATTCTGGAGAGATTTCATTGTGCTTGGAGTGGCAAGATCAGCAGCAATACAGAACTGTTGAACTATTGAAACTGCTTGAGCAGGACCCTCGGAGCATGCCCCACACTGGGGACTCTGGGATGGGTGGGAGGGTGGGTGTGGTTTCTCCCTTTGTTTCTCCCCTTCCTCCAGATACAGGAAGGAAAAAAGAGAATGTGGAAACAATTATCTCACCCACTTTCCTCTAGCCCTTGACCCTTCACACCCTAATCAACTATGTAAAGATCATCGAAAATAAAATTTAAAAAATAATTTTAAAAGAAAAAAATTGTTCTTAGAGAGCCACATGGAGAAGACCACTTTGAGATCTGACATGAGGACACCTGGGCAGAGTTGTGGTCAGTGTTGCCAGAACAAGTGTCTAAGACAGAACAGAGGTGTGTGGTAGCTCAGAGTCCTGAAAGAGAGCATGAGAGGCAGGTTCTATCCAACCAGGTATAGAGGGTCTGTTGAGCCAGGGAGCAGGTGTGGCACAATGCACTGATCCATAGGCTGCTTGGAGCAAGGTCAGTTTCACTAGGCCGTGAGCTTGCTAGCCAGACCCAAGTTTCTACCCTGGTTAATTAGCTGACATGTGCCTTGAGAAAGGCTGCTGGGAAGGTGTCCCTTCCTGAAACAGCCAAGTGCGCTGGCTTGCTGCTGCTGCAGCATTATTACAATGGGCAGGAAAATGCCTTTTATTTCCATGGGTACACAGCAAAGCAGACACCTCTCTGGTGATCCTAGTGCTCTTGTTACAGGGTGGACCCTGGTTTCCTGAGGGGCCCATTACTACAGGCATAGGCTTCTGTACTGAGGGCTCATCTCTGTGGGAGGCCACAAGAAGGGCTGCTTTGGGAAGTAAGGGAACATTGGGAAGGTTTTCAGAAAGTAGTGTTACATGGTTTTATCTTGACTTGGTGATGAGAGCCTGTGGTGTTTCATATCTGCTTCACATTCTTTTACCTTCTGAGAAGCAGCATGGGTGGGGGCTATCAGGAGAAGCAAATTGACCAGATAATGAGGAGTATGGCTACAGAACATTCTGTTCATTGAAATATTCTGCTTATATTTCAATTATATTTGCTTTGAGATTCTTTGTAATAAAATGTTTCTTTTAAAATATAATGCCTGTTAAGTATGAAAACAAAACTCACCTATAGGAAATTGCCATGTTTTAAACAATGAGCACATGGGGGCTGGAATTGTGGTCTAGTGGTAAAGTGCCATCTATGACATCAGTACCCCATATGGATGTTGGTTGGATGCTAGCCTTCACCACCACTGAGCCAGCTCTCTACTAACAATCTGAGAAAGCAGTGGAAGAAGGCCCAAGTATTTTAGCTTCTGCACCCATGTGGGAGACAACATGGTTCCTGAACTCAGTCTAGCCCATTGGTGGCTGTTGTAGCTACCTTGAGAGTGAAACTTTCTCTCTATCCCCCACCTTTCTCTGTAAGTCTTTCAAATAAATAAATAAGTCTTTTATTTTTCCAAAGAAAAAAGAAGAAATGACTATACAAGTAATATGTTCCAAGGAAAGTGTATGCTCTTTAATCACATCCTACAAAATGAAACCATTCTAATTCATTTTTAAAAGACTTATTTATTTTTCTTGGAAAGTTAGATTTTACAGAGAGAAAAGGACAGAAAGGAAAATCTTTCACCTGCTGGTTCACTCCCCAAGTGGATGTAAATGGCCAGAGCTGAGCCAATCTGAAGCCAGGAGCCAGGAGCTTCTTTCAGGTCTTCCATGCAGGTACAGGGTCCCAAAGCTTTGGGGCATTCTCAACTGCTTTCTCAGGCCATGGCAGAGAGCTGGATGGGAAGTGGAGCAGCTGGAACATGGAACCAGTGCCCAAACGGGATCCTGGCACTTACAAAGTGAAGATTGAGCCACTAGGCCATTGTGCCAGGCCTGAAACTGCTGACAGCACACTCAATAGTCTCAGGATATAGTATTTGGTAGGCTGGTGCTACAAGTCTGTCAGAAAAAACTCATTTCTATCTTAAGAAAACTCTCCAAAAACCTATCAAATTTAAGCAATGTTTCAATTAATTTTCCAGGCTAGCTGTCTTCACTTAGATACCAGGGGAATATTCTACCAGTGAATGAACATTTTGAGCCAAAAACACACAGAGGCAAGTATCTTTTAAAATATTTTATTTCATTTTTATATGAAGAGCCAGGAGATGGAGGGATACTGCTGCCAAATCTCCACATCATAATGAGTACTCAGCAACCTAAGCCATTACCCATTGCCTTCATGGGTCTGCATTTGCATGAAGTTGGTACCAGGAGTCAGATGAAACAAATCAAAGTATAAAAATAAATGCCCTAAAAAAAGGGGGGGGGCCTGGTGCGATGGCGCAGTGGTTAAGGTCCTTGCCTTGCACGCCTGGGATAACATATGGGCGCCGGTACTAATCCCAGCAGCCCCGCTTCCCATCCAGCTCCCTGCTTGTAGCTTGGGAAAGCAGTCGAGGATGGCCCAAAGCTTTGGGACCCTGCACCCGTGTGGGAGACCCTGAAGAGTTTCCCGGCTCCTGGCTTTGGATTGGCTCAGCTCCAGCCATTGCAGCCGCCTGGGGAGTGAATCATTGGATGGAAGATCTTCCTCTCTGTCTCTCCTCTCTGTATATCCGCCTTTCCAATAAAAATAAAATAAATCTTTAAAAAATAATAATAGGGCCCGGCGCGGTGGCGCAAGTGGTTAAAGGTCCTCGCCTTGCACGCCCGGGATCCCATATGGGCGCCGGTTCTATCCCGGCAGCCCTGCTTCCCTTCCAGCTCCCTGCCTGTGGCCCGGGAAAGCAGTCGAGGACGGCCCAAAGCTTTGGGACCCTGCACCCGCGTGGGAGACCCGGAAGAGGCTCCTGGCTTCGGATTGGCATAGTATCGGCCCGTTGCGCTCACTTGGGGAGTGAATCATTGGACGGAAAATCTTCCTCTCTGTCTCTCCTCTCTGTATATCCGCCTTTCCAATAAAAAAATAATAAAAATAAATCTTTAAAAAAAATAATAAATAATAATAATAAATGCCCTCTGCCCAGTGTTAGTAATGAGCTTGTTACACTGGTTTGAGCAAGACAAACATTTTCAATATATATTAGTGTAGGTTAAACATTTGACAACTGCCTTGGAATAAATACATACCTGTTTATTCTTGGAAACTGTTGTAACACTGGGGTCTGCTGAGTTGCTTTCCCTTGTGGATTTTTTTTTAAATCCCCTAAGCTGTATAAAAGTTGTCCTGCATCTTATTTTACTAGATAAAGTTAAAACACAGTATTGTAGAAAGCTAATATAAAGCTATCCTATGCTTCTAATTAGAATAAAAATGAAAAAAATATACAAGTAAATTCTATTGACAAAAAAGATGGCTCAAAATGGGTGGTCTATAAAAAGGAGCTGTTATTACTGCACACTTAAGGTACATTTTCTCTAACTTTTTAATATTTTTGAAACAATACATATCCTATGATTAATATGTACATGAACTGATGAATATTTTTTTTTCCTTGAAAATATGTTACTAAATGGATGGTCATTTCACATCTTAGAATTGAGCAAACATGGTATAAGATGTTCTGTGACAAGACAAAAAAAAAAAAAACTCAGTGAGTCAATGACCTCAAAAACCAGATAAGATAATGGAAATTGGGTGCTCACAGATAATGCCTGTAGCCTTTAGAAATTTCGGAAGTAAAGATCTCTGCTCCAGCAGACATGAAGTATCCAGTTTGAGGCAGGGAGAAAAAATTGCTTATATGTGGGACCCTTGCAAATGTCCAGCAGTGACATTTACTGCAGGGGCAAATACTCCCTGAGCATGGACTGTTAATTAGCTTGCAAGGACACAGGGAGGTGGCTGGCAGCATCAAGATATCCTAAGCTGAGCCTTCCATGCAACCTTGAGAAAGCCCGTGCATGAGTGAACAAGGGCCACAGTGAGGCAGAGAAGGCTGGTTGAACGGGATAAAGGGGAAAACATGATTTTAGGAAACTGAAAGATCCAAAATTTTTATAAAAAGGAGACTGTGACAAAGACAATCCAGCTGCATTTAAAATAAGCACTGGGGCTGGTGCTTTAGTGCAACAAGTTACTCAGGCCACTTTCTACACCAGCACTCCAAGAGTACAGGTTCAAGTTCTAGCTACTCCACTCCAATCCAGTTCCCTGCTAACGTGTCTGGAAAAGCACCAGACTAAGCGGGTGGTCCAAGAACTGTGCCTCTGCCATTCATGAGGGAGCCTTGGATGAAATCTCATGTTCCTGGTTTCAACATGGACCAGCCCTAGTCTTGGAGTTTGTGGCCACCTGGGGGTGAATCACCAAATGGAAGATATTCTCTCCACACCCCCACCCCACTTCTCTCTTTACGTTTTAGATAAATAAGCCTCTTTTAAAAGTGTGTTTGTGTGCAGCTGAGCCCTGACTTAATCCAGAAGTAAGCCCATGGAAAATAATTTTACAGGGAGATCTCAGAGACCAAATCAAAGGACCTATCTAAAAGGAGCATGCCTTGGAGCTCCCATGGAAAGTTTCCTCAAGGTTGGATGGGAGCTACTCAATCCCATGTTTGGAATCTGGAGTTCAGTCAATTTATCCTCATCACATAGCTATTTTAAGACAATGTGAACCAGTCTGGATGAAAAACTGGCCTGAAAATAAAGTAAATCTAAGAGTAGCTGTAGTTAATATTTTTTCTCTTTTTTATTTAGATATATTTTTATTTGAAAGGCAGATTTTATAGAGAGAAGGAAAGAAAGAAAAACAGATCTTCTATCTGCTGGCTTATTCTCAAATGACCACAATGGCCAGAGCTGAGCTGACCTGAAGCCAGGAGTTTCTCCGTGGTCTCCCATGTAGGTGCAGAGTCCCAAGGTTTTGAGCCAGCCTCTGCTTTCCCAAGACAAACGCAGGGAGCTGAAAGTGGAACATCTGGAGCACAAACCGACACCCATATGGGATCCTGGCATTTGCAAGGTGAGGATTCAGCCAGTTGAGCCAGCATGCTAGGCCCTGTGTTCAGAAATTCAGCTGACTCATGTGCCTTTAACATGTTTCCTTTGGCTTAAATCTTACTTCCTCTCTTCCTTTGAGATTCAGTGAAAAATCATATAACCATATTGTGTACAATCTTGCATTTTTATTTATTTATTCATTTTTCCATGTTACATGTTTTAAAGATTATTTTACTTGTGTTATAGACAGATAAAGGGAGGGAGAAGGAGAGAGAGAGAGAGAGATTTCCATCCACTGGTTCACTCCCCATATGATTGCTAAGGTCAGAGCTGGGCTGATCTGAAGCTTGAAGCAGGAGCTCAAGTACTTGATCCATCTTTTGTTGCTTTTTCAGGCTGGTAGCAGGGAGCTGGATTGGAAATTGAGTAGCCAGAACTTGAACTGCTTTTCCATATGGGATGCTGGCACTGTAGGTGGAAGATTAGCTGGTTACACCATTGTGCTGGCACCCAATGTTTCATTTTGATTATTCTTATCTATATGTTCTCAGTGCTTCCTATAGTGTCTGGCACAAAGCAAATGACTCAGACATCATGTATTTTATGAAGGCCACTGAAGTACCGAAGGTTACAGGCTCTGCCTGGTACAAAGGTAGATTAGAAGGTGAAAGACTAAAGAAGACATCTCATTTGTTAGGACAAGGATCCCAGAAGATTATGACAAAATTCTGTGAACGCATACAAAGAGAAAACAGCAATAAGTGGACACTCAGGAATAAGAGCAGAATGATGACGAGAATAAAACAGTAGTTTGTTGGTGAGCTCTGGGCAGGTATATTCCTTCTTGTCTGCTCTACATTCTTGGCCACATACATTTGACCTAGGCTTTGCAGGCTTAGCTCAGAAGTCCCAGGATCCTCTCTTGCACCTGGTGGCAGCAGAAGCACACAGGGAGTGAGCAGGGACACAGTGGGAACTCTACAGATCCAGGCACAGCCTCCTAGGTCTGTTTTCAAAGAGCAAATGGCCCCTGCCCCTCACAGAGGGAAGCTAGCTTCCTAAGTGAGGATGTCTCACTTCCTCCCTGTCACATGAAAGTACTAGGCAGGAAGATGAAGTAGGAATAAGTTACCTGGGAGATATTGCTAATAATTTCTTCCAGTCCTTCATTGTTACACTTCCATCCTGTCAATCCAGTATGCCTACTTTCCCATGAGGCACTTGTGTCTCATCTGGAATCAGAAAGGAGTGGATTATGGTCACGTGGAAGTTAAGTTGTAAGTAGAGGTCTTATGGAACTCCCCAAAAGTCTTACACATACTAAATCCTTTCAACATTCCACCTCATTTATTTTTTCTTTTTAAATCTTTATTATTATTATTATTATTATTTTATGATACAGTTCCATAGGCTTCTGGGATTTCCCTTATCCCCTCCATCCCCCCCCACACCAAGTTCCCCTATATCATTAATAACATAGAGTTCTTCATTCTTCATACACAGTCATATGTCCATCATTGCACGAATGGACAATGGCAGAGAGTCCAGCATCCTATTATCAAGATATAGTAAACAGTTTCAATGATGTAAGTCCATCTTTGTCTGGAAGTGGAGATGCATACTGCATTGTATCCTCACATCTGGATATGTTAGTCTCCATTTCATACTTACTGAACATCCCCTTTAATGAAAAGTCACAATACAAAATAAACAACAGGAAGAAAAAAGAAATTAACAATGTAATGAAGTTTTTTTGGTTGTTGTTAAAGATTTGTTTATTTTATTGGAAAGTCAGATATACAGAGAGGAGGAGAGACAGAGAGGAAGATCTTCCATCCGATGATTCACTTCCCCAAGTGACCGCAATGGCCGGTGCTAAGCCAGGATCCCGGAACTTCTTCCGGGTCTCCCAACCCAGTGCAGGGTTCCAAGGCTTTGGGCTGTCCTCCACTGCTTTCCCAGGCCACAAGCAGGGAGCTGGATGGGAAGTGGAGCTGCCAGGGTTAGAACTGGCGTCCATATGGGATCCCGGCATGTTAAGGCGAGGACTTTAGCCGCTAGGCCACGCCGCTGGGCCCCAATGTAATGAAGTTAAATAACATGCTACTGAATGACTAATGTGTCAATGAAGAAATGAAAAAAAAATCAAGAACCTTCTTGAAGAAAATTATGCTACTGCATGATCTATGAGTCATTGAAGAATTTAATCAGAAGAAAGTGGTTTGAAGAGATGAAACCAACAGAAACAAAAACATCAAAGTCCATGAGAAATAGTTTCCGCTGATTTTTTTTTGGTGAAATGTCTCTTCTAGGCAACAAATACATGGGTTTTGCTTTTTAATCCAGTCTATACTAATTTATGACATTTGATTGAGCTCAAGCCATTTACATTCAGGGTTAATATGTATGGGTAGTAATTTGGTCCTGTCATTTTAGGAATGGGTTGTTCATTGATTTAGTCTTCTGTTGTCATTTTACTGGGATGTTCTTCACATTTGCCTTTGGTTTTGGTAGGTGCTATTCCTCTTCTCTGTCAAGAGAACATCTTGAATTATCATTTGTAGGGCAGGTTTGGAAGAGGCAAATTCTTTTAACTTTTCTTCACTGTGGAAGAATTTTATTTCATTTTCAAAGACAAAAGAAAGCTTTGCTGGATATGTTATCGTAGGACGAAAATTTTTTCTTTTAGAATCTGGAATATGTTATTCCATTCTCTTCTTGCCAGTAGAGTTTCCTGTGAGAGATCTTCTTTGAGTTTAACTGGCATTCCTTTATATGTCAATTACTTTTTTTTACGTGCACATTTAAGGATCTTTTCCTTATGTTCAATTGACAAGAGAGCTTGATGATCATGTGTCATGGTGAAGATCGCTTTTGATCAAGCCTATTGGGAGTTCTGTGCCCCTCCTGGATCTTGTTTCCCAATTCTTTCTCTAGATTAGGAAAATTTTCCCTTATTATTTCATTAAATATATTTGTAAACCCAGCTTCTCTTTCTGCACCTTCTGGGACTCCCATAACTCTGATACTTGGCCTCTTAATAGTGTCTTTCAATTCTTCAATATTTTTTTTGGCCTGATCCAGCTCTGCTTCCAGCTTTTTGTTTGCTTCCCCCTGGCGACAGGAAATAACTTCCAATTCTGAGATTCTTCTGCTTGCTTCATTCCATTTTGGAGACTTCCCATTGTACTTTTAATTTGCACTACTGTGCTCTTAATTTCTGATATATAAACCTTGATTTGCTTTATTGCTGCTATTTCTTGTGTAACATATTCCTTAAATTCTCTGAACACATGTATGTGCTTATCATTGTTGATCAGAGGTGTTAAAATGAGTTTTCTGAATTCTGTATCCTCCATTTTCTTGATGTCTTCCTCAGTGAACTCTGAGGTTGGTATAGGCTTTTGCTCCTTTGCAGGGGAGCCTTCAGTAATATTCATTGTGCCTTTGTCTCTTGCTTTTGATCATTGTACTTCTGGTTAGCAGAGTCTTCTCCTTGGGGCAGGCTTCTAAGCTGTGTCACCCACAGGTCTACAATGCGATTTTACTTATTACAGTTGGTACACAGCTCTTTGCTTGCAGCCAATTGTACCACAACCTCCAGCAAGTTCCAGGTCTGGGTTCTCATGTTAGATTTCCACCATGGTCTCTGTAGCCCCAGCTCCTGGCTCACCACTCTCCACCTCCTGTGATATCATGCTGAGGTTGCACTGTTGTCTCTGCAACCTTTCTCCCTCTTCCGGTTGGAGCAGGTCCCAGGATTAGAGAGACAACAGGTGTCCTACATAGCTAGGTTATTGGTGGTGCTGATCTTGCAGGAACCTGTTGTCTGTTAGGTCTGGGTGACACATGGGCCTATTTTGACCCATATGATGCCACAGTTGGTATTATTTTCCTGTGGGACCAGTGCAATCCACTGAACTCAGTGAGTTCTCATGAGCTCAGCACATGCGCAGTTCACTGTTGTCCCCAGCAGTCCTAAAATTTTTGCCACACTGTACAAAATGGTGCCTGACGTACCACTATTAGAGTTTTTGATCTGCTGGCTGTCAGGTCTGGAGGCTACCCAGACCTATCTTGGGTGGAACCTGTAGAATGCCATGATGCTGCAGTTCACTGAGTCAGAAATGAACTCACTCACAGTTCAGCGTATGCTCAGTCCTTTCCCTAGCCTTTGCCTCCTTATGCAAAATGGCACCCAATTCAGCTCTAGGGGGCTGACTGGGCTGTGAAATCCACCTGTTCTCGCATTGCCCATCTGGGATCCCCCACTCTGTCTCTGCTCCTGGTCAAATCAAACAGACTAGCAGGACAGACAGTTCTTTGGGTTCACCTCCCAAGCTCCCAGTTAAAGTCCCTTCCCACCTAGTTGCTGGTGGAGTTCCAGCTGCTGGTGGAGTTCAGAAGGCCGTTACCTGAGTGCTGCTGGAGTATCAGTCACTGCAACACCACACCATTGTGTCCGCTGCTTTCCTGTGTCTGTCAGTCTCCAGGTACCCCTCTGCTGTTTTTCTGTCCTCTCCTATTTTCTGGAATGTGTCCTCTCTGCTTCATTCTGATTAAATGTTTCTCCATCCATTTAAACGTGTCCTTACCCTATTCTGCTATCTTGATTCTCTCCACCTCATTTCTATATTAATTTAGGGTACCACTCCTTACCATCTGAAAATGACTGCTAAACATAAGAATGCCTTTTTTTTTTTTCATTTTGGCTTCTGAACCTTGCTTATGAGTCCATCTCTGGCCTCCTCACATGCCCTCTCCTGGTTAACAATTATCTGGCCCTTTCATGACAGCTATCTCTCCATGTGAGGTTGCTCACACTCTTGTGTGTATATTCTTTCCCACACTTTAAAAAATAAATCCTGCTGTCATATGTGCTAAATATGTCTCTGCTTCAAATTCTTATCTATGTGGGCACAAGAACCTGGAATACAAGTTGAGGTACTTATGCCCAGAACCTCTGAGCCATGCTGCTTTATCAGGAGGGCCACTGGAGTCTTGAGACTCTTGTCATTTCCGCTTATGTCTCAGAAACTGTAATCTGCAAGTTCAAAGGGAAGCCTGCCTGAGGGGAGTGAATCCTTATGGACCGTGGAAAAAGACTATAGACCAGCTGCAAATTCAAGCAGAATCACAGTTATTGCATCCTTGGTCTATTCTTCTGCCCCTCTAAAATTCTTCCCTAGTTCTTCAAGTTTTCTAATTCAGGCTTATATCCTACCAAACCCATGTCTCAATTTCAGGTTCAACTGTCTCCTGGGAAGATCTCAGGAAAATAATTCCCAAATGTTTATCCAAGTCAAACTAACATTATTAGAAGCAAAAGCCTTCTTTGAAGGGTGGCAGTGAATGGGGTGGGAAAGGGGTTTGAACCTTGTCTTCTAATTGGTGGCATTGAAGATGTGAACTTTAGTAATTGTAGGGTGGGAAATTTTATGCTAAGAGAGAATCAGCCTTGGAGGCTGGCACGTTTATGTTTTCTGGATAAATAATTTATCAATATGACATCCCTGGAGCTCCTTAAAAAACCCACTAGCATTTCCCAGGATTGAATCCCAGCTGCCTCTCCCCAAACTAGAGTGTTGGTGATGTTGTCAAACAAGGGAGATGGAGTTTTGGGTCACATTTGCTTATTTTTCCTAACCCAGGATCCCAATAAAAGTATTAGACTACACAACAATTCTCTCTTCCAAGACCCTTATCTTCAGAAATCTGCCCCCTCCCCCAATTTATCAGAAGGGAAACATGAATCCAACATAGTCTTTAACGCCATGGTCGAGATACATACCTATGCTTTTAGACTAATATAACATGTGTTCATCCCTAAATCACATGCATTTGCCCTCTGGCTTACTTAAGGTCATGGTTTTTCAATCCAGAGTTATTTCTTATTCTTGGGTGGAGATTATAGTCAACCTTCTAATCACACAGCCATGGCATCTGGTGACAAGTCAAGGGAAAGCTGAAATAAAGTCAAAGTCAAACTTTGCTGGGGGGGGTGTAGAAAATGAAGGCATATTCCAGGCACAGTGACGTTCCCAAACGTCACAGTTCTCTGAAGGGTCTATCCACATAGCATATGAAAGTTTCGGTCATCCAGTTTAGATGCTGAACAAGGGGTATAAGTGGGCAGAATCTTAGTAGCAAGGAAGGTCTTTGGCACTTGTTGGAGAGAGAATACCTCCAGTGTCTTGTTTCTATGACAGAACCAGTAGAGTACAGTGCTGTGCTGCAAGTGGAATGGAGCGGCACTCCTGGTAACACAATTCTTAAATACTGGGAACATGACTCCTTAAAAAAGTCCAATTCTCCTTGTATTTCCTCACAGACAGGTTTATACTCTCTGACAGCTTGCCTTGCTAGAGCAAAAGAATAAAGATAGCAAATGATCTGTGTGTCAATGTCCTGTTCTCCAGGTGAGATATACCCAATGGCCTGACCTTCTCTAGGAGAAGTGATAAAATATAATCTGTGAGCCTGCAGAGCAGGATTCTGTTCCAGGATTCCTTCTGACTTCATGAAAGTAGTTTCTATCCATGAGGCCAAGGACTCTGAGCAATCTACCTGTCCAGGGTGTGAAGTTATTGAAAGGGTTACAGTGCCTGTCGTTCAAGTATCTGAAGTGACAACTCTCTTCCCTCCTGGTGCCTGTTTATTAAGCTGTTGGTTAATCTGGTCATGGGCAGGATTCTCTAAATAGCACAGTGTAGACTTGTGAGTTCAGTCAGATCCTGATCTGTATCTTCACTCCTCTACTGTCACTAGCTGCATGGCTCAGGGCATGTTATACAGGCTTCTCTGCATCTTGCTTTCTCTTCTGAATTTGAATGTTCCTTGGAAACCAACTCAAAACCAGATGTCAGTGTTTAACTAGAAAGGTTGTCAGGGGAGGTGAACCAAATACTTTCCTATTGAATCCTGGTGCTTCAGCAGCTGGAAACTTGATTCAGGTTACTCACCCTTGAAAGCAGCTCATACAATAATGTCTACTCCCCAGTGGGTGTTGGGAAGCCTAATCACTGCTTGTGAAATGTTTTCAAGTTCTCAGAAGAAGGATGATACATCATAGCAAAGTGTGCTTCTCCCAGTTGTGAACCTCTGAAGCGGCTTCTGGAGGTAGTCAGTACAACATTACCATGAACACTTGCTATTGTTACAAACTATGACTATTATCCATAATAATACTAGACTAGTATTTAAGGTATTGCTCTGCTCATGAAAATTCTTAAATCATCAGGAAGTGGAGACAATAGACTAAGTCACCTAATATGAGTTTATTCTGCTCTTGCACTTCAAAGCAAATGAAATTCTTAAGGAGGCTGGTATCCAACAATACCAGATAACAGCATTTGTTGAGCATGTAGAATGCATGAGGAAGTGCATTCTGTAGGCTATCTCATTGGACCTTTCCTACAAACTTGGGAAATTGATTTTACCTTTTCTATTTTGAAGAGCAGAAAAAATCAAACACGGAGATGTGTAAATTTTCAAAACAAAACAAAAAATCCTGACCCTTATATGTAGGATGACCTGAAGTGGAGAAAGAGGGCACTGTGAAGCGACCACAAAGTCTAGGCGAGAGCCAAGGAATCCTTCAGTACTTTAGCAAACTGAGGATGGATTCAACATCTCCAGTTCAGGCATCCTTCATGAATCTGTCCTGCCTAAGCGCCAACAGAGAGAGGGACCAATGAGGAGAGAGACCATAGTGTGGTTTGGATGACTATCATAATTTGATGCTCTGGCTTGAGGCTTAGAGGGGAAGTTGTACCACAAAGTTTCTAGTCACTGACAGATCTGACTTGAAGCCTGGGATAAGATCGCAAAGATGCAATGTCTCATACTTTGCCACTAATCTCGCCCTGCCCCACTCCACCCCTACCTTGGGCTCAGTAGTCTTTGGAAGAAATCCACAGAAGTCAGAGCAGGCCAAGGTGACAGATGTCTGTGAACACGTCACTGTGAGACTGCCAGGCAACAAACTCTCCATTCTAGGCCTTAGCGTAGGCAAGTCAGCGTACCGAAGAGGTCTTCTGCCTTCTCCTTCGGGCCTCTGGGAGTCATCCCTCTGTTCCCTAGCCTCCATCTCCCAGTTGTTTCCTCTGGAGGTGGAGTGGTCACCCTGGGCAGGGGAGGGGGGAGGGGAAGAAGGAAGGGGAGGGGGGAAAAGGGGGCCCGGGGCGCATGCGCAGCAAGCCTCTGTACGGAAGCCCGGAAGGAGGAGCGGGAGGTAGCGAGGCTCAGGTTTCTCTGGGCGGCGGCAGTTGGGACGCGACTGGCGCTAGCATCATGAATCCGCTGTAACGCGCATGCTGCGCGGCACGAGAGGAGGGAGAAAGAGGAGGACGCCGCGTTGAAGTTCACCGCCATGAACCTGAGGGGCCTCTTCCAGGACTTCAACCCGAGGTGAGGCGGCGGCGTTGGCAGCGCTGCCAGGAGTCCGCCCCGCGAGCTTGGTCGCACACTGGGACGCGCGCTCCGGGAGGGCTTGGCGGTCGAGATGCTGCCGCCCGAGAACGCGGTCCCCGCCGAGCCTCTCCGCGTGTGTGAGCGCCTCTTCGGTAAACAGTCGGCCTTGGTTTGTGCTGGTTCCCTTCTGCTGCACAGCCAACCCGCTGTGCCAACTGTGACTGCCCCGCCACGGCCTGAGCCGCCTGGCCTGGAGCCTTGTCCTGCCTCCAAGGGAACCCATTCCTCTCTGCTCACCCTCCCTCATTGATTTTCCGATTTCCGATTGCGTCTTCTTTCACTCTGCTGTCTGCCCTCCATTCTCCGCACCAGGGCCATCTCGCTGGACCTGACAGCCTTACCCTTCACGCTAGAGCTTTCCTCCAGTTCTTCTCAGCCCCTGAGCTTTTCCTGGATTTATACCCACCCATTACTTGTTTGCTTCTTTGTTGAATTGATATTTAAAACATTGTTGAATTCTTGGATTGGATATGACAATCCTTACATAATGTCTTTGGAGGTGATCATTTTTTCATACGCATTTTCTCTTCACTGTAAGTTTATTTGCAGGAAATAGATATTGTTGTCCTTATTTCCCAGACAGGGAACATTCAGTGGACAGTGTGGAGAAAATGCTGGCTAAGGAATCGAGTAGTTTTTGCTCACTTGCCGGAGTGTTTCCTAACTGTTCCGTCTCCGAGGGTGTGAACTCCCTGAAAAACAGACCACCTCCTCCTCCTCTTGCTATCCCTGCTAGTCCCAACTTCTGTGTATAATACATTGGAGACACTTCTAAATTTTTGTGGCAATAAACTCAGCCACAAGCCCTACATTGGAGACTAGGCTACATGTAACTGGTTGTGTCTCCGGCCTCGTTTGGCCCGCCTGAGAACTAAAAGGTCCACCTAAGTCAAGCGCGAGCAGCTTTTCTGTGTCAGGGGCCATTTGTATGTGTGCATCATTCACAGGCTTCATGGAGTTAGCACCTTACAAAGGAGCCTGCTGTATAGAGCTATTGATGGTGGGGCCTGATGGGGTTGCCTTGGAAGGACCAGAGTAATGATTTCCCACGGCTCCTGTCCCTGCGTCCCTGCGCCGACTGAGCTCTCAAGTCTGCTGCTCCGTGAAGGCAGTATTTAGTGCATCCACTTGCTAGTGGGAAGTCACGCATTTAATAAACCATTTATTTGCATGGCAGGTCCTATGCCAGGTGTTTCAGGTTTTACAGATGTAGAAGGCATTTTAATAGATGTTTTCTGGTACTGAGCAGGATTTTGCTTTTGAGAGCCCAGTGGAAACTACTGTCTTGATTGCTTGTTTGGGAATAAAAGGAAGGCTTGGGGGAATGCATATACTAAGGGTGCTGTCTCCTTAGCGATGGTGAAATTTTAAGCTATGAGCCATGGTGCCTGCAAATGTGCTACCCTTTCTCTGTCGGTTAATATCCTGAACCTCAGTGCCAGTGGCCGTATCACAGGGTCTTGACCGTCTCCGTGGTGGAGCTTGTTTAGCGGGGAGCAGTGTCTTCCTCCGCTGTTCCTGGGGATTAGGATTGCTCTCCTGCTGGGAAGCTGTGTGCTGGAGCTTTCTGCTTTCTGTGTTTTGATTGGGGAGAATGATAAGAAAGATAAGTAAAAGCAGAATTGTTTAGTGTCTTTGGGCAAGCCACCTATCTGTGTTGTATCTGTAGCATGAGTGTACTATCCAAGTAGGATGGGGAGGTTGAATTAATGATTGATTGTAAAGTACTTTACAAATATAAAGCTTCATGAGTTGATGTATTATGACAGCTAGTTTGGAAAGCACAGGAGCTGCCTGAAGTGATCTGACAGGCTAGCAGGCAGAGTTGCCAAAGCAAAATAGCACTGCACTGTTAAACACCCTTTAACATTTTACCTTTAATGAATTTATTTTATGATAAGCTACTAATTGCAAAATAGATTTTAATGATCACTAGTGTATTTATTCTTAATTATACAAAGATTAAAATACATCTGCCTGAAAAATTTGAACATGTTTTTTACTGTTCTCTTTTGCTGATTTCAGTTTTGTCAGGTGGGAGTGAGCAGTGATATCATACACATATTGCAGAAGAAATTAACAAGGTGATATTCGCAAGTTACATTTTTTAAAAAAGACTAACTTTTTTAAAGATTTATTTATTTTTATTGTTGGAAGGGCAGATATACATAGAAGAGGAGAGGAAGATCTTCTGTCCAATGATTCACTCCCCAGTGAGCGCAATGGCTGGTGCTGTGCCGATCCGAAGCCAGGAACCTCCTCCAAGTTTCCCACACGTGTGCAGGGTCCCAAGGCTTTGGGCCGTCCTCAACTGCTTTCCCAGGTCATAAGCAGGGAGCTGGATAGGAAGTGGAGCTGCCGGGATTAGAACCAGCGTCCATATGGGATCCTGGTGCGTTCAGGGCAAGGACTTTAGCCACTAGGCCACGCCGCCGGGCCCAAGACTAAGATTTTTTTTTTAAAGATTTATTTTTACTATTTTTTTATTGGAAAGGCGGATATACAGAGAGGAGAGACAGAGAGGAAGATCTTCCGTCCGATGATTCCCTCCCCAAGTGAGCGCAACAGCCAATGCTATGCTGATCCAAAGCCAGGAGCCTCTTCCAGTCTCCCACGCAGGTGCAGGGTCCCAAAGCTTTGGGCTGTCCTCGACTGCCCTCCCGGGGCACAGGCAGGGAGCTGGAAGGGAAGCGGGGCTGCCGGAATTAGAACCAGTGCCCATATGGGATCCCGGGCGTGCAAGGCGAGGACTTTAACCACTGCGCCATCGCGCCGGGCCCGTATATAGTTCTTCATGCAGTCATATGTCCTTCATTGTGGCCATGGACAATGGCAGAGAGTCTAGCATCCTATTGTCAAGATATAGTAAACAGTTTCTTTGGGAGTCCATCTTAGTCTGAAAGTAGAGAACCCCAGTTTTTTTATCCAGTCCTCTGTTGAAGGGCATTTAGGTTGCTTCCATGTTCTTGTATTTGTTGATTGTGCTGCCATGAACATTCGGGTGTACGTTGCTTTCTCATACAACAAGCCTTTTGGATGTATTCCTAGAGTGGTATTGCTGGGTAAATGGCCTTTTAAAAAAGATTATTCATTTACTTAAAAGAATAAAATAGAGAGAGAGAGAGATATCTTCCACCTGCTGGTTCACTCCGCAGATGGTCTCAACCGCCAGGGTTGGACCAAGATGAAGCCAGGAAGGAAGGGTTTTATCCATGTCTTCCACATAGGTGGCAGGGGCATAGATATTTGCACCATCTTCCTCTGCTTTTCCTGGGCACACTACCAGGTTGTTGGATCAAAATTGGAGCAATGGACCCACCGCAGTGGCTCAGTGACTAAAAGCCCCGCCTTGTAGCACTGGGTGGGATTACATATGGGTGCCGGTTCATGTCCTGGCTGCTCCACTTCCCATCCAGCTCTCTGCTTGTGGCCATTGCAACCACTTGGGGAATGGATCAACAGATGGAACAGATGGAAGATCTTTCTGTTTGTCTCTCCTTCTCTTTGTAGATTTGCCTTTCTCATAAAAAAAATATATATATATATCTTAAAAAAAAAGTGATAGAGCTGGGACATGAACTGGTGCCCATGTGGGTTGCCAGCATTACAGGCAATGAGTTTACCCACTATTTTGCAATGTTAGTGCTATAAGTTGTCTTTTATTTGAAGTCAGGAAAAATGAATATGATTGCTGGTAAAAGTTCACTAAAGGCAGCCAACTGGCATGTTTCAGTCATTTGCAAAAATATTTTTAAAGCATTAATTCACCAAATGTCTCTTGAATGTCTGTCATGTGCCAAGAGATGTGCTAGTTACAATAAATACAAAAATAAATGAGTCTCTCTCTCTCTCTCTCTCTCTTTCTTTCTCTTGCTCTCTTTTTCTTAGTACCCAGGCCTAGTGAGAAGAATCAGAAATGGAAAGAGAAATTAAAACTCAACAGAATTTGAGGTATTGCAGAGCCAGGAACCAAATGCTGTGGGCGTACAGTAGGGGAGAACCTCCGATTCTATTTAAAACAGGCACCACAGATTCCATAGTAAAAGTAACTTACACTAGATTTTGAAAGATAACTTTAAGATTTTTGTCAGGCCAGAAGATAAGAATGACATCTTAAAAGGGATATAGAAGTATACCCAGGCCTGGAGACATGAGCCTTGGATGCCGTGAGAGTGAACAGAAATGTTGTCAGAGTGCTACAGTTGGCATGTAACTTGACAATATGTAGTGCTATTTCCTGCAGGTATTCTGTATACACTATTGCTTATTACAAAACAGCTCATCAGTATGAGAGCATTGTTGATACTGATCATCAGGAAACTGATCACCGGAGTGACTCTTTGCCCTGTTAAGACACTTACAGTGGCAAAATTGTCATGATATTACTGAGATTATTATTATTATTAATCATGTCTGTGTCTTAGGGAGTGTCTTTCACATGCCAGGCATTATGTAACTGCTTTATATCCATTATCCTTAATCTTTTTAAAAATATTTATTTTTACTTGGAAGCCAGAGTGATAGAAGAGAAAAAGAGAGAGAGAGAGAGAGAGAGAGAATTTGTATTCGTGTCAAAGTGAAAGATCTTCCATCCACTTTATTACCCTCAAGTGATTGTAATGATCAAAACTGGGCTGATCCAAATCCAGGATCTAGGGGCCTCTTCCAGGTCTCCCATGAGTCCAGGAGCTCAAGTATTCCACTGCCAGAATTCAGCTATTCCACTGCCGGAGTCCAGCTCCAGCTGAGTTCAGAACTCAGGAAGGGTGCATGGATGAGGCATAAAGAGGAAGCAAATGGACCACTACGCTTTCATAATCATAATGGACAGTGCGAGAAAGCTGTCCTCTTTGTTTATACAGAAGCGATCATAAGCCCTGGCACAGACTTTTTATGTCATGGTCAAGTGGGTGTATTCAAGAATAATTTTCCCGTTT